CGAGCTGCTGGAAAAGCATCTTTTTACCTCTCGGAGCCTTTCGCCAGACCATTTGCAGTTAACACTTCCCATTTATTTATATTTTTTTTTCCCGTATCTGCCAACGGCGCAGCGTCCGTCGCGGCTTTTAATGGTATTTCGCCCACGACAGGGTCACTTTTAGTAACGTTCCATTTAACGAGGCGCAGAGCCCGTCACAACGCTGCCCCAATAAAAGCCATGAACAAACCCCGCCTTATCCGCCCTTCTCAGGTGCTTAACTGCTGATGTTATGTGTTAATCATAGAATCATGGAATGGTTTGGGTGGGAAGGGACCCCCAGAGGTCACCCAGCCCAGCCCCCCTGCAGGAGCAGGGACACCTTGAACCACATCAGGTTGCTCACAGCCCCGGCCAACCTGGCCTGGAATGTTCCCAGGGATGGGGCCTCCACCCCCTCTCTGGGCAACCCCTGCCAGGGTTTCACCACCCTCACTGGAAAGAATTTCTTCCTTAGACCCAGTCTAATAACCTGAAGCAACAGCCGCTACGGGCAAATGTTTAGCTTCGGGCATTGCGCGTGGATGAGTCCAAAGGGGAGAACATTTTGGTCGAGGGTAGCTGGGTAAGGACACCCAAAAAGCAAACTTCTTCTTGCAGGGGGAAGCGGGATGAGAGCTGGGCTGTTTGCATGTCCGTATGAGCCGGCAGGCGCCGGTGGTGAAGGCTCTGGATGGTGGGCAGCACCATAAAGCCCTGCCCTTGGCCGGAGGTGGAGCGCGGCGAGGGCTGCGGAGCCGTCCCCGACGCGGGAGGGAGGGCGGCCGAAAGCCCTCGGCTCGGCCCCGCCGGCTGGAGCAACGCCTGGGAACTTCCCCGGCATCGCAGGAGCGGCCCTGCTGGATAAAGCCACCCTCTCAATACCGCCGGGGGCTAATTATCTCGGAATAGCCTAGCCGGCTATCACGACAGAGCCTCTCGCAGGGGCATCCCCGGCGCTGCAGACCAGGGGACCCGGCAATTACCAAATAATTGGCCACCAGAAGCAGCTCCTTCCTTCCCCTGCCAGTTGCCTCGCGCTCGGGCATCAAAGTTTTTCTTTCTTTCTTTCTTTCTTTTCCCCTTCCCTTGTGAAAAAAAAAAAAAAAGGAGGACTCCTGTCTGAATCCTGTCAAATAAAACGCTAAATGTTTGCATTTTCCATATGATGTCTAATCCTATTTGGAATGCTTCTGAACATTTGGCCTTGATTACATCTTGGAGCACTGAATTTCACAGGTCATTGTGTGTTGAAGAAAAAGTATTTCTTTTTGTCAGGTTCACTGAATGTCCCCTTGTTCTTTAATTATAAGGCAGGATGAATAGGAGAGCCAGATTTACCTTCTCTATGCTGTCCATTATTCTGTGCACCTCTATTATGTCTCCTCTTATTCATCTCCTTTCTAAACAAAATCACCGCAATCTGTTCAACCTCCCTTCACATGAAAACCCCTCTTCCATGCTTGCAATCATCCCTGCTGTTTGTCCCCGAACTCCTCCAAATTCCACTGCACTTTTTTTGAGGGAGGAAAACCAAACCCGAAGACGGCTCCAGGGCAGGTATACATGGATGTGTGTACGTGTAAATACATACCCAAGGCACACACTGCATATCCATATAAATATATACCCAAGGCATAGGGGTTTGGGGTCCTTCCTCACGCGCCTTTTCAATTCAATGGGTTTTTTGGTCTCCTTTTTCGGGATTCTGCCACGCCGAGGAGAAATTTCCACGCAACTCTAGCAGCGGCATACACTCTCCTCCCTGGATGTACATGGTTAATTGAAATTCTTTCTTCTGATCTCCCCTGCGTGCGGGACGAGCAGAGGATCAAGCCTGGCCCTCCACAGCAGCAAACTGGCCACGGATCTGTCAGGTCCCCTTCTCCTTCCACCTATTTTCCCCTTGTCCTAATTAACCTCCATAGCTTGAACCACCCGAAAATACCCCCAGGCAACTCCTCGTTCCCTTCCTCCCTTCCCCGTCTGAGTAAGCAGCTCTATTTCTGGAATGAAATCTGGAAGCATGAAACCGAATGCCTTTTGATTGCATCGAAGACCGCACCGATCTAGTTCAGCTCCGCACGCGCGCAACTTTGCCACTTCCGAATCGAGAACTGGGGTTGCTCGGCCCCTCCGGGACCGTTATTTTGTTCATTCACTTCTGCTGAGGGACTGCAAGATTTCTGGAGACTCAAGACGCGTTGTTTGAAATGGTTTTCCTTATTATTTTCCTGACGTATTAAAAAAGATCGAAGAGACTTGCTTTTCCTTTGCAACAGAGAACGTGACTGCAAAACCTTCCCTTTGCAAAGCGCCTGTCCCGGAGACCCGGGCGGTGCGTTACAAGGCAAACTGCCGACGGCATCCCGCCGGCACACGGCTCGCCCCGGCAGCAGGGACAAGCTGGAAGATGCGGAGAGCCCGGCTATTTCACGCCGGGTCACGTAATCCAGAGCGAGCACCGCGCCGCAGCGAGCACGCGCAGCTCCCACCCTCAACTACCTTCTCCCCCCCCAAAAAAGTTTAAGCACACATTGAAAACAAGGACAGGTTTAGCTCTCGTTCTTTAAACCTTCTCCAGCCCCGCAGGCCAAAACCGCGCCTTACGCTAAAACCTGCGCCCAGCTTCCCAAGCGAGCAGGGGGTCCCGCGGGAAACGCAGGGCTAAGGAAATCTTGAAAGCAAAAAAGGAAAAGCACTGCAGGACCTGGGTAGGGGGGGTGACTTTATGGTCACCTGGCCTGGAGATCAGGGAATAACTGAAGCCCTGAAGATGTCACACACCCGCCCCCACCCCGGCACGCACGCCAGCGCTCTGCACCCCCGCGCGTGGCGGGGAGCTGGGGCGGCGCAGCCCTCATGGACGTACGT